TACTGATACAAATTCAATCACCTGATAAGCGGAGTGTTGCAAGCACGCGAATTCAGCCGGCAAACACTCTTCGCCGTGCCTGTAACAATTTTTGTTTCCCACAAGCCTTGCTCGGCCAGGCTGGAATCTGGAGGGGGCAGCCTGACCTGAAAATAGCGACTTAGTGGGCAAACGGGAAAAGTGCACTCTATGAGCTAAATTGTTGGAGGAGCGGAATCCCGCCTTGTGGAAGTTAGGGCCACGTGTAGGAAATACTCGCATTTGTTTGGAAAGCTGAAATTCGTTCGTACGGGATGGAAAGTCTCTAACATCGGGCAGAAGATGGTCTGCTGAGCTTCGGCGGCGAATAATTCCCAGCACTGAGCCCTCGACTTCGTGCACGGAAATGCCAACCTTCCAGGTTTTTCGCACAGTCTTGTACCCACTTTGGTCGATTCCATATTTCTGAACGATGCTGGAAAATGACCGCCAGTCGATGTGGCAAAAATTGTTTCTCACGAGAACAAAGCTCAAGTGCTGGAAACCTGTTACGTTTGCAACGTCAGTTACGTTAGTAACGTCACAAACGGCAATTACGTCAGTTACGGGCAGTTACGTCGAACATCCATTGCTTATTGATGAGGACGCCTGCCGATGAAAACGAGAGTTCCAGACGATGCGACGTGTTCCCTAGGCGGTGCGTCCTTTGATCGAAAGCCGGCCTGATATAGCCCTGCTTACCACAAGCTTGGCAAGTTGCCATGTTTCAACGACAGTTGGCCTTTCAGCGCGGGTTTTGGACAACTTGTTTTGGAACAGCTTGGGAACATTGCATTTCGCACGCATTTGAAGTAATTTTATGCGATCCTTCAAGCACGATTCCTGCAGATTAAGGAGCACATTAGGTTTAGTCCACAGCGCCGAATTGTTCTCCCCGATAAAGCAGCAGCGCATAGTTTCGCGCCCACGTATCTAATAATATGCAGATGATCATCAATCTGAAAAATGGTTATAGTTTAGCAGCTGGTCAAAGCGTGTGCTCAGTAGCCCATAGTATCACAGAGCCGAACGTTTCACTCACACTGGCTACACTGTATATATATAGGAACAATACGCTTGATTACACAAGGACAATTCAACTCTGATTGGTTGACTTTGGACGAAGGCGTGTGTGCCACGTTATGAAGTTGACATTTTGTAGCATACTGAAATACACCGCTTCGGCTGTCCGATAGCACTATTTCACCAGCATCGGGGAACATCGGTCTGATTTATGGACCCCGCTGAAATGCTATTTGTCATCGTGGTGGACGCCTTTCCAGCAGACTGAGGTGTGCCGCTTTGGTTAACCGGTTGCCCCATCTCATGACGGGAGCGATATTGGGTTGGCTTCCGGCCGGAGCTGAACTAGCGCGCGGAGTGGGAGGTGCACGGTCGGGACACGTGATCCGAAGCGTTGTTAGACCCGAGGTCCTGGAACTAAGTCAGACTATGGAGCCTTGAGAAGCGACCACAATGCTTTGTACGCGATCCGCGAAAGCGCAAGTTGTTCTTTGGGCACGTGCGGTTTGGTGGATTTGTAAGAACAATTCGGCGACGGGTACCTGTGCCAAATGTAGCTAGCTGTTTCCATTCACCGCAATGACCCATCGTTCATACCGAAAAAAGTAAATCGTGATTTTCCGCGACGCCGATACATAAAAAGGTACATTATATTATTGAAATGACGCCGGCTGGTGGCTGGCGCGAGCCAGACCTCGGAGTCGATCCGCCCGCTCTGTCTCCGTCGTCTTTTGACAGAGCCCTGTCATGGACGCTGTGAAACAGTCGGGGCTCTGTCTCCGTCGTCTTTTGACAGAGCCCTGTCATGGACGCTGTGAAACAGTCGGGTCTCCGTGGTCTTCTGACAGAGTCCTGTCATGGACGCCGTGGAACAGCCGGGGCTCTGTTTCCGTCGTCTTCTGACAAAGCCCTGTCAGGGATGCCGTGAGACAGTCCGTGAAATGGACTGTCCAAAACATATGTGATGCGCTGTTCAGAGCTCAGAAAGAAAACGACGCAGCTGTGGTAGTCGATAAACACTGCTATATCACGCCTGCGTGCGGTGGCGAACAGATGATGGACCAGAGAGTATGGTTTGGGGAGCTGCCTGCTCTAGGAGAACCCCATGCATGGCCGGGCTGGCGAAGAAAGACACGTTTCCAGCGTACCCTCTCACACTGTAATTCTGCTGCAGTATCTAACACGTTAAGCGCTCAGAGACCATTGCTGTGAGCGTCTTACCAACTGAAGTGCTACTGGGATGACCTTCAGCCGTGAAAGTGGCTTGAAAAGGCAGGTGAACGTGCGGCGGACCATAAAGCCACGCGTATGGAGCTGAGGGAGGCCCGCGGCGCGCTCCACTGTTGGCCGCCGCTCCCGCAGCCGCGCCCTCGTCGAGCGTCAGTGAACGGGTGGCGTCAGTCGTCCCCTGAGACCACCGAAAGCCGCCTGTCGAGCCGTGCCGGCTCACAGATGCCGCCGAGCAGGCCCAGACGCGGTCTCGTTCTTCCGCCTGGCTCCTGTTTTGCCCGCGCGTGGCCACGAGACGGGCGGCGTGGCGGGTGGTCGGGTGCCAGCGCACTCCACCTTCGTGCCGGGCCTAGTCCGCGCCGGAGTCATCTCGCTCGTCCGCCAGTGTCCGGCAGTCTCGAGCGGTGGCTCTGAGAAAATCGTGCATCGCAGCTGGGAAGTTTTAAATTTCGGATCACGTGTCGTCTCTGAAAGGCGTAGATTCGATTACATATGAGACGTGCTGCCGAAGTTGGCGGCCCAGCGTCAGCCAGCTGCACCAACCACACTCACTCAATTCGTTATGAGATTGGCGTTGCCGGAGAATCGCGGGCGCTCGGCTCTGAACCCCAAACTAACCCCGCTCTCCACTCTTGGGGCGCCCGTTAGAACCATGATTCGGCGACCCCACGTGCGCAGCCTGACGCCCGCACCTGTACCCGCACCTGATCCGTTTGTTGCCACTCATTAGTTGTTAAGGGCTGTGATGTTTGTCACCGTTGCTGATGTGTTTTGTGTGGTGGTTGTTGTGATGTTGCTGCGTTTATTAGTATCCGGTATCCGGCTGACACTGGTGGAGGTGTAGCGGGCTGTGGTATGAGGACCGCCCCTCGTGACGTGGCGCCCTGTCATTGGCGGGTGTAAAATGTGTGGTCCGCGACCGGTCAGCTCATGCCCTCGAATACAGCCTGTACCGAGGGCCCGTCTATAATGATACTGCTGTGTAACTCTCCATTGAATTTAGGCGACATGGCGTTGGGTTCTTTTAAATGGGCGGCGAAAGACTTCTTGTTCATAGGTTGGTGCGACCTGGCATGGACGGATATGACGCGTTTATGCCCTTTTTGACATATTTTTCCCTTTAACCTTGATTTTACGCACAGGCGTCTTATACTGGAGTGGTTTTAAGCGGCGGAGACAGCACAATAGCAAACTTGTTTACGTAAACAACACAATTGCGCTGTTCATCAACGGTGATGGACCGTTTTTTACATGGTAGCGTTTCGTCGTTTAGGGTGTTAATTCAATTTGAAAGATTTTACGGTTATGCCAGAAACTGATGCCTGAGAGGTTTGCTATGGCTTTATGCTCATGCTAGAAACTGATGCCCAAGAGCTTTGTTATTGAATCACGTTTCGTGTTTGTTCTAATTTTGCAAGGCTTCCTTGAAAACACTGCAGTTTTTAATAAATGCGATGCGGGCCCGTGGGATATCTTCTCTGAAGATTGGATCAGTGCTCCAGGGATGCAGCGCGTCTTGTGAGCTTAAGTAAAGCAACGAGTACCTCTTCCCCCAGTTTTTTTTTAATGACAAAAGTGATGCAGCTATAGATTCAAACACGTAATCTTCCACGCTCCGGTTCTTTTTGCTCCATGATGAATGCATCTGCGGCGTATAAAGGCTCCAAATGCCCGAAGATAGCAATCCCGTAGCCAAGTCGTGGCGCTGTCCCGTGACTGATCCTGGCCACGCCTAATATGCGGGCGTGCTGGCTTTTGACGCAGTGTCGTGGTCGGGACCGCGGGTCGGCGCTGAAAATGCTTTCATGGTCAGTAGCGAGCGGTGAGCTTTACCAGGGATGTCGATCAGTTAGCATGTAAACATCAACACGTCAGCGACTGGCGTGCGGCATGTGTGATTTCCAATGAATTGCGCATGTCGTGTTTTATCATGCCACGCTTGCCGTGCGCGAGTGACGTGGATGCTAAGCGACTGATTGGGTTGTCTTTTTATGGTGGTGCATTCATCCAGTAGGTACATGTTTTGTCGGATTTGTTTGGTTCACATGAGCCGGCTTAACCTGATTTGGCGGAAGGAATAATGTGACCTTTTTAACCACGCTTCAGGAACATGCCAAATACCCAGTAGCGGTGCTTTGATATTAAAACATGCAGCTTCTGAAGAGAGTACAGTTGTGTTCATTTTATGCGCTCATGATCTATTACGTCATAACAAGCCGGGACCGTGCTGCTGACGTGTCTCTCTTCGCACCGCTCCCCATGGAGAAGTCCGCCTACCGCTACTGACCGCGACTGTATTCTGTTCGGTCACCGCTCTCCCGGACAGGAGAGAAACCGGCCTCTTCCTGCCTGACTAAACAGGAGCATCCTCTTCCGCCATTCTCTCTCTGTCTCTTCTGGAATGCCCTGCGCTCTTGCCATTTTGCTCGGCTGATCTGGAAAGTCAACTTTCGCCAAGGTAGGGCACCTCTTCCGCCGTTCTCTGGCTCGTGTGACCGTTTCCATCCCCTCTCTCGCCATCCCCTGAAGTGTGACCCGGAGCGTTTTGTCCAGGACGGTACTACGCATCTGAGGTGGAGCGTCACGCCGTCTCGTCCCCCCGCGCGTCTGACCCGGCGCGTCGAGAACGGCACGCCGTCTCGTCCCCCCGCGCGTCTGACCCGGCGCGTCGAGCGCGTCACGCCGTCTCGTCCTCCCGCTCGTCTGACCCAGCGCGTCTCACTCCGCAGAGATACCGCACTTCAAGCAGGTGGTGATCATGGCGACCAACTGTGAGAGCTGCGGCGCGCGCACCAACGAGGTCAAGTCGGGCGCCGGCCTGGAGGCGCGCGGCCGCCGCCTCACGCTGAAGATCACCGAGCCGCTCGACATGTGCCGCGACCTGCTCAAGGTCAGACCGGGGTCGGTCACAGACGACCGGTGGCCCCCTCATCCACGCCGATAGCATCGGGGAAAACAGCTTGCTGTAAGGTTCGAACCCACGTGTGCGCAGGGGGGGAGGGGTCGAGTGTAGGACGCGCCCTCCTAGCGACGCCAAACGCAATGTGCCGGTCTTAGATGGGCCATGGTGAGGGGCATATCCCACGGCCGAGGAGGGGAGGGGGAGGGGCAAAATGAAAGCCGAAATCATGTTTTCCAAGGGTGCGTCAACGAGTTGTCCTAGAACGTGGAACGGGCTGAACGGGCTTGATTGCTGCGTGGGAGTTTGCAGCCGTAGTCTGTTTATTGCACCCCCACCCTTATTGCATCCCTGGACTGCAATAAGTGGTCCGTAGTTCCTTGCTAGTTGAGGTGGCGCCGTGCTAGAAAGGAATTATTCCGCATTGACGCTTCTTGGAGAATGGTATGTTAGCACTACAGCGCAATTTTGAGGAATGACCTGAGGCAATAACAAGCTATTCACGCGAATAATCGACAATCATAAGTGGCGGCGAACCCAATCAAAAGTACAATGAGCGTACATAGTGCGCCGTCGACAGCGCCCGCATGTGCGGCGTGTTTGCCGACACCGCGGTCCCAGATGTGCGGCTGTCTGACTCGCCGGCCAGCTCGCTTGCAAACACACTGTGCCGGCCGGACCGGCCGATACCGGGGCCATATCGGTCGGCCGCGCACCGGGTCAACACTCAGGCGTGGCGACCAGTCGGGACAGCCGCGCGCGGGGAGGTCCGGGCGCGCGCGCCACCCTCGCTCCGGCCGGCGGCTCTGGGCTGCCGGCTGACGAGCGGGCCCGGACCGGGGACGCGACGGTACGCGACGCCGGGGTCGTGACCGGGGAGACGGCAGGCTTGGAGTCACGGCCTGGGAGGCGGTGGGCTCGGAGTCAACGGTCGGGAGGCAGTAGGCTCGGACTGGCGGCCGAGGAGGCGGTAGGCTTGGAGTCACGGTCGGGAGGCAGTAGGCTCGGACTGGCGGCCGAGGAGGCGGCAGGCTTGGAGTCACGGTCGGGGAGGCAGTAGGCTCGGACTGGCGGCCGAGGAGGCGGCAGGCTTGGAGTCACGGTCGGGGAGGCAGTAGGCTTGGGCTGGCGGCCGAGGAGACGGTAGGCTTGGAGTCAGGGCCGGGGAGGCAGTAGGCTTGGAGTCACGGTCGGGGAGGCAGTAGGCTTGGGCTGGCGGCCGAGGAGACGGCAGGCTTGGAGTCACGGTCGGGGAGGCAGTAGGCCCGGACTGGCGGCCGAGGAGGCGGCAGGCTTGGAGTCACGGTCGGGAGGCAGTAGGCTTGGGCTGGCGGCCGAGGAGGCGGTAGGCTCGGAGTCACGGTCGGGGAGGCAGTAGGCTCGGACTGGCGGCCGAGGAGACGGTAGGCTTGGAGTCACGGTCGGGAGGCAGTAGGCTTGGGCTGGCGGCCGAGGAGACGGTAGGCTTGGAGTCACGGTCGGGGAGGCAGTAGGCTTGGGCTGGCGGCCGAGGAGACGGTAGGCTTGGAGTCACGGTCGGGGAGGCAGTAGGCTTGGGCTGGCGGCCGAGGAGACGGTAGGCTTGGAGTCAGGGCCGGGGAGGCGGTAGGCTCGGACTGAGAGGCGGTAGGCTTGGAGTCACGGCCGGGGAGACGGTAGACTCATCAACAACCCAGCGGTCGGTGTGGTGGCGCTCTACGAAGCCGAGGATGTGGGCGCAGACCGACGGACCAGTCAGGGCGGTACGCGGGTTCCAAGTCACCGTGGCCGGTAATGAGGACGGTCTTGTGGCTGCAGGACTATTCTTGGGGGGGGGGGGGGGGGCTGTTTCTCGCGGCCTGTTTTTTGTCGTGTCTATCAGCGTCCAAATGATGTAGGTACATTATGCATGTGTGGGCTGGTTAATTGAGCGGTTCCGTAATAGACTATCGTTGGCGACGCCGCGTGTCGGGCGAAAGGTCGAGGTCGGCCGGGGGTTCACATGAGAGCCTCAGATCATGATCTCCATTCGGGGTGTACGTTGTGCGTGTTGCGGTCCGCTCCATCAATGTAAGGTGGTGCTTCATGCGGAAGCGCTATCGATCATTGTATTGGTATGAAATACATATTCGCGCCAAACTGAAGACGGAATAGCCATTTGCTCCGGTACTAGACACGCGGCGTAGTCTGGGAGGTGAGGAAGGAGAGGGATTTTGTAACATGTGGCTGGCCCTTGAAATGCCATTGCAATGTTAAAGAAGACGCTGGAGGGCACCGCGGGGAATCGAACCCCGTACTTCTGGTTTCCCAGACACGTGTTGGTTAGCGCAGACGCGTTAACCACATTGCTACCGGCAACCCCTTTACTTGTTTGTGGCTAGTGTGACGTAACCCAACCGGGCTTTGGGCGCTGCATGACCTTCAGCAGTCGACGCGCCCTAAAACCCCAAATCATCATCATCATCACCAACCGGGCTTAGCCTGCCAGCCGTGCGTGGTCGGCAGGCGAGTGCGTAACGCGGCGGCTGTGTCGGCAGTCGGAGACGTGCTCGGTGGAGGTGCCCGAGCTGAAGATCCACGCCGGCGCGCACGCCATCAGCGGCCGCTTCACCACCGTCGAGGGCCTGCTGGAGAACATCAAGGTGAGCCGCGGCGGCCAGCTGTCGGGACCGCAGCGCCAGGCGGACCGTGAGGCGCGTCACCTCCGGGCGACGTCCGTGGCCGGGCGCAGCTGGCCGCGGCCGCCGGCTGTGTGTATATGCACGCATGCAGATGTATGTACGCACGCAACTGTGAAGGCGCCCGGTGGGTCGCCGTCCGAAATCATGGGCTTAGCCACCCGCTGAAGGCATGCCGGAACGTTCAGTAAATGTTGAAGGTGCTGAGCTGCTGACCGGGGACGGATGGACAAAAAGCGGTCGGGTCGCGACCACAGACCGCCGCCGCCGGTGCCGACGCCAGCCTGGGGCGGTGCCGGCGGGCACGTGGTGGCTGCGGCCGGGAGCCTCGCACTCCAGGGGGCGTCACCGGACTGCGCCGGCGCCCGTCCCGCCCCCGCCCCCGGCTGCGAGACGCGCGACGGGCGCCGACCTGTCAGGGCGCGCTGGCGGCACGGCGGCGGGCGCCAGCGCGCTCGTCCACCCCACCCGAAGTTGGCCGCGGTTCCGAGAGAGAGCCGGAGCCGCAGCCGGAGCCGGGCGCGCTCCGGCGCCACCTGGCTCCGGCGCCGGGCCGACTGCGGGGGCGTGGGGAGGCGTGGGACGGCTCGTGTGACTCGGCAAGGCCGGCGATGTCGCGCGAGCCTCTTTCTGCGGCGCGCTGAAAGCCACATATGTTTCATATCCAACATGACAAATATTGCGGCATCTGACCCGGGACAAGAAGGGTTTGAAGCCCACCCAATGGGTGCCATATGAAGCCCACACAATAGTCCGCGCGCTATAGCCCAAATCATCACTCCAAGCCCACCCAAGCGCGAGTCGACCTCAGACAACCGATCTAGAGACGCCGGTTGTCTGAGATCGACTCATCCCGTCACGTTTGCACGGCTGGAAGGCCCAGCGCCATCCATCGCAGCGTCTGCCGTGAAACCGACGCCGAACCGACGCTGTGCCGGTGTTCCACATCAGTGATGCAGCTGCGCCGGAGCGAACCACCGCCGCGCTGCAAAGTGCGTTTAAGATATTTGATTATTTGCAATCTACCAGTACAAGTGTTCTTTCTTCAGTCAGTTGTAAATTACAGTGGCGCTCCTTCATGTTCGCGTGATATGTCGCCATGCAATTTGTCACAGGTTACTATCTGCGCTGACCTTTGAATACGTGGCTCGACGACTGGTTGACCCAGGCTAGACGGCAGACGGGTTTGATAAATATTGAAAATAGCATTGCGACTCGCCACATCGTTCAGTTGCTGACAAATTGAAACGACAGGACAAGCCTGTGTATCGATTAGGCGTGGTAATTTGCAACATTTAGCATCGGAAGCCGAGGGTGATTGGGTTCGGATTCGAGTTCAGATTTGGGTTGGAGACTCGAATCTTCGCATGGATATCTCGAATTATTACAATGCAATGTAAAACTAACTGTCTCGCTCAGCTGTAAATTGAACGACGAATGATGGATGAACTAAAGGGACCGGACTTTCATCTCGCGTAAGAAATTAACACGCGCTTGAGCGGGGGTCATAATGACCCCCTCCGAAGATTTCCCTAATGGTTTCCGAACGGCGCGGCGCAGCCGCGCCAAATTTTGCATAGCTGTAGACAATTGAATAGCGGATCGTCTGACATCAAAAATTTCGATGCATCTTGTTAGGTCGCTGACCTATGGCAGGTCAAAGTCAAGCCATGGTTTCAGCGAAGTCACGTTCCAGGGAATCGTTCAATCCGATCAAACAGCGGGGTGTTAGACGAAGCCATACATCTCTGAGATACTTTCTTAGTCAACGCAACAATTGAAAAAAATAACATTGACCTAGGGTCAGGTGTGAAGGTCAGACCAAGTTCAAAACTAACCTGTTTTTTACTGGACTTTGACCTGATTTGACCTTATCTGACTCGAAGATTATGACCTGGGAACTTCCGACTCTGACCTAAGTGAGTTCACTTACAGGTCAACGCGCTCTGTGAATTTGGTCTCTCTAGCTCTCTTAGTTCTCGAGATCTCAAGGGGTGGGGGTTGAATTGATCTCTACCCGAGCGAAGGGTATCCAGCCGGCCACCCGGGCGCGTATTAGAAGGTCAAACAAGGTCACTGACCTTAACTGGGCGTGTGAAATTTTTCTTAGAACAGTTGCCTAGGTTCTAGGGGCTCTTTGTAGACCAATCTGGAATTTGACCTTGTTTGACCTTATTTGTCCCGAGGGACATGACCTAGGAACCTCACACTTTGACCTAAGAGAGTTCACGTACAGGTCAGCACACTCTGTGAATTTGGTGTCTCTGGCTCTCTTAGTTCCCGAGATCTCAAGGGGTCAAATTGACCCCCCACCCGAGCGAAGGGTATCCAACCGGCCACCCGGGCGCGTGGTAATGTCAGATTTGTCGAAAATTGCATCAAATATCTAACAACGCTTCATTTGTCCCTGTCTGAGTTATATAAACAAAACGGATGGAACACCAGGGTGCCAGGGTGCCAGGGTGCCTGGAGCAGGCGCTCCTCTCCCCCAGTTCTAAGTTCGCGTGACACCCGGTCAATGCGTGGGTTAATACGACTGGAGCCAGTTTAGCGCTTGCATGCAGCGGCGCGAGCTGGCTGTGGCGGCGTGTCTAACGTCGCATGGTGTCAGGTGACATTGATACCGCACCACACCGGGAGATCAGTCAGTGTATTGTCAGTCTGACACGTCAGCTGGCGGCAGTCACCCTTCCGGCGCGATGATGACGCGGTGCTCATGGCCGGCGGGCCTCACCCATCCCAGCGGCGTAACTCTCCACGTGATGGTACCCTCCCCGCTGGCCAGTGACCACCGGCCGCACCACCTGCTCGCTTCTGTCCGTGGCAATCCGCATGGGCCGCGGCTAGCTGCAGCTCTCGGTCTGCATCAAGAGACGTGCTTCCGAACGCCGCGCATTGTGTGGCTCATCGGCCCCACTGCCACAACCGGTACGATACGCTGTGGCGTGAGCGCTCGCGACAAACGCGAGCATCGCCAAGCGACCGTGGATCGTCACGCGTGGCCGGTGCCAGCGTGGTCGCCGTGGTCACCGGCGTCGTCTCCGTCTGCGGCAGGACGACCTGCAGAAGAACCCGATGTTCAGCGGCGACAGCCGGCCGGACGGTGACGTCCGCAAGCTGGCCGAGCTGTGTCGCCAGATCGACGAGGTGATCGCCTGCAGGCTGCCGGCCACGCTCGTGCTGGACGACCCGGCCGGCAACAGTCACATCCAGGTGAGTGCGGCCGGGCGGCCGGGCGGTCAGGCCAAAGGAGGGGGGGGGGGGAGAGGGGTCACTGGTGAAAGGAGCGGGGAGCGGGGTCTGTGAATACCTGTAACCAGGAATCGCACCTTTGTCTGATTCAGTTTTTTTTTAAGGATCGATTCATCATCGATTTATGTAGATCATCACTGCGGTCATGACGTGCTGAGGCCCGAGACCCGATGACCCCCCCCCCCCTCCTTGTACGACTCACGCGGTGCCGTGCGGCCCATACACTCCAGCTGCTGGTGCCTGTGAGCGATCGTGACGGACCATGTCACGCGATCCGATGACCCGGAGCCCCCCCCGCCCTATCGTGCCTGCTCCCCCAACAGACTATGCGATGTGGTCGGTTAAATGACCACACGATGGCCTCTTTACGTATTCACAACCCCGGGCAGCCGCTGTCGGGTGGGCCGCTGGCCACGTTCTGACCTTGCTCCTCGCGCCGGTGACCCCGCTCCTCGCGCCTGTGACCTTGGTCCTCGCGCCCGTGACCCCGCTTCTCCCGCCTGTGACCCTGGTCCTCGCGCCTGTGACCCCGCTCCTTGCGCCTGTGACCCTGGTCCTCGCGCCTGTGACCCCGCTCCTCGCGCCTGCGAGCCTGGTCCTCGCGCCTGTGACCTCGCTCCTTGCGCCTGCGACCCCGCTCCTCGCGCCTGTGACCCCGCTCCTTGCGCCTGTGACCCTGGTCCTCGCGCCTGTGACCCCGCTCCTCGCGCCTGTGAGCCTGGTCCTCGCGCCTGTGACCTCGCTCCTCGCACCTTTCACCCCGCTCCTCGCACCTGGAACCCTCTCCTCTCGCCTGTGACCCCGCTCCTCGCACCTGTGACCCCTTCTCCTTGCACCTGGGACCCTCTCCTCGCGCCTGTGACCTGCTCCTCCCACCTGTGACCCCTCCTCGCGCCTGTGACCCCGGCCCGCCCCGTGCGGCCGGAATGGACGCAGGACCCCGAGACCCTGACAGACTTGATTTGTTTCTGTAAAGTGTGGCAACCTTTGCGACTCACGAAGCACATTCGCCGGTGTATTAAGCTGTATCGACCTGTTTGATTATCTCGTCAAGAACCAGACCAGGCCTTTTGATGTGACGCCGGGTCGGCTTTCGTTCGGAGTGGCTCTGCACTGAAAGGCCGATCCGCCATGGAGGGAGCTTTGAAGTTGCGCTACGCTCTTGAGTGCAACCCGCGTGTGATTGATCAAAGCAAGGCCCTTCAGAAGTACGCCATGACTTGGCGCCAGGCTATAGAATTCGCCGGGCGGTTGTTGGCCTTGACCGGGTGTTACCGGCTCGCTTTTTGGAAGGTTTAGGGCGTTGAGATTAAGGTGTCGAGATTCGTGCAGTTGGTCAATGCGCCATATGCCGTCTCGTGTAACGAGTGGGCTTTGATGTCTTCACTGCCCGATCCATCGCAGTGCAGAAGGTGCGTGCTCGTTGGATTCAGCATCGGCGATCGCAGTTGTGTGGCTACAAGCATTGTAAATTTTAACGTTGGCGTGCTGTAATGCTAGGACTTCATGGCCTTGGCTGGCTGCGGAATGTTGTCCAAAGCAGTGGGCGGCCGTGGTCACTGGCACACCGCTCGGCAGTGACGAGCCTGGCTGACGCGAGCGGACTGGCCGGCTCCGCCGCGTCACCAGCGTCTGTCTCGCGGCGCGAGGACCATCCATCACAGGCGCCGCGTGCTGCCTGTCGTCCCAAGTGGAAAGCGGCTGGGTGAGAGCCTGGCCCGAGCCGGCGGCGGCCATCGGTCTCGTGTGGATCGGCCGTGTCCGCCCGCACTGTTCGGCGCGTCAGCGTGGCAACAGCGGCCGGAGGACGGGTGATGAGCGGCGCCGGGTGACGGCCGTCCGGCACGCCATGTTGTTGTGGCCGGACGGCGGCGCCTTGTTAGCCGCGCGCTCAGGCTGCTTCCGCGAGCTGACCTCGCTGTAATGAGGCGACCAGTCGGACGCTAAGCCCCCATGCGAGGAGATTGGCTGCGGGAGGCTGATTGGCGGAGTAGACGGTTGAAGGAGATGTGCGTTTGCCAGTCGCCTCCCCGTTGTTGGGTCTGGTTCTTTGAGTGACTTCTCTGGCGACGCGTTCTGGGTAGCTTCGATCCGATTGTTGGGGTACTCATGGACGCGAATCTTCCAACATTCTCAGGTCTGATCCTTCCCGCATCTACTCAAGCAGTTATCAAAGGTTCACATGACTCCTGCCACCCGGCATTTTGTAGATGTGGCTTGCGATGACGCAGCTCACTTGAACCGGCCGGTTCCTCCTGTTTTGGACTGCCGCATGTCGTTGGGCGCCCGCGCGCCTGGCATTCTTGGGACTTGTCTGTGACATGGCTGGCGCCGTGCACCGCTCAGTGCTGTCCTGTGTTGGGCTCACGCTGGTCACGTTTGCCGGCTGCCTCGTGCTGATGACAGCAGCAACGGGCGCCTGACGCGGCCAGAACACCAACGCTGGAGAAGCCTCGGCCCGCGCCGCGCTTATGCCGCTGCCGTCAGCTGTGCATGGCCATCAACGTCACATGGGAGTGGCGGTGCAGACCAGGAGACGTGGTCCCCACCCAGGACACCTGACTTGCACTCCCAGTGGCTCGACTGGGCCCGCCCGTCGCAGCTCGTCCTGAAGCCGAGCCTCGGCGCGGCCTGTTCGCTGCGAGGTCGTGCAGCCGCCGACGCGTCTGTCCGAGTGCCGCGTCGACGGCGGAGCCGGTCACGGGCTCCTCCAGCGGCGCCACGTGCGGAGGCACCCCTAATTTGACAGGCCCTCGGCGGCGGACGTCCGGCCGCCCGCCGGAGGGGCTCCGTTTCGCGGGCGGCCGGCGCCGCGGCCTCGGGAGGTGGATGACTGGAGGGCCCGCCGCCAGGCAGATATTGGCTGGAAGGAGGCCCGGAAACGGAAGGCCTGGAGCCGCCACCGCCGCCTTCGGCGCCCGCTCGGCGCCCGTCCGGCTCGGCTCGCCAGCTGACGCGTCAGGTCAGGCAGGCCTCGTCTCCCGTCGGTGCCAGAAGACGTCAGATTACGTCAGTGGGCCGTGTTTGCAGTTGGTATTTATTTGCTACCTGTCCATCATCATCAGAGGAATGCCCTTTTTGGAACAATTTCTGGTTTGCGACGCGCGAAGGCAGCTTCCAACTACGCCAAAGGAGGAGCATTTCACTTCTTTTGTACGGCTTATGGCTAATTAGCCTCAGAACGCTTTCCGTTGCCTGAAGTGTCAGCAAAGCTAAAGTTGAGTCGCCCCCACGTTCACATTCTGGAGCGCCTCTTGACAGGTCAGCACACGACAGCGGTTTTCACACGGACTGCACCGAACTGTCTGTCCGAGTGCCGCGTTGATGGCGGAGCCGGTCGCGGGCTCGGACCCCCCCCCCCCCCCAGCGGCGCCACGCGCGGAGGCGCCCCTCTTGGCCCGAAAAGACCTGGGTTAGATCCGACTAGACCCGGCTAGACCCGACTAGACTAGGCTAGGGCGCCCCTCCAGACCCGCCCGAGCTGGTCTTCAGGCACGCAGTCTGAGACTGAGCGTCCACGGGCGCCATGTACGGCGGTGCAGTCCAACTCCCAGAAGCGGCGCTGTGTCTGGCGGTGCAGTCCAGCTGTCGGGGGCAAGTGATCGCCGTGGACATCCAGTTGGCAAGGCTCGGGCGTTGCGAAATGCGAGTGCTTCAGCGTGCAGAGCAGATGTTCATGGCCTAAGGTTTGTGACGGCAGCTGCCGTGTGCGGGCCGTGCGGGGTGTGCCTTTGTACAAAATGGTGGCTGCCATTCGCTCACATGGATTTTCATCTAAAACAGGGCTAAATTGATGCGACTGGCGCTCAGGCTCCCGTCAAGTGACGTGAGCCTCGGACGAGGTGGGCCCGTCCCCTCGGTGCCGGTTGATGACAGCATCGACAGGGCATGCGACAGAGCATGCGACAGAGCATGCGACAGAGCATGCGACAGATGCAGGTCGACAGAGCATACGAGCTAGACGCGACCATGCGAGAGCTCGCAGTGCTTCCGACCTGCGAGCACGTGCCGGAGAAGGTCCTTTCGACAGTGATCACCGGCTGATACAGGCGGCTCAATGGCACTCTGGCTGTCTAGTGGCGAACTTCGAGGGCCGAGGTGTTCACCGAGCCCTCGACGGATCGATCGCCGGAGCGATGCGGCCGCTGACGGCCATTGGTCAGGAGCAGCGCGCCGTTGGGACCGGCACCGGCGCCCAGATCCGAGCGACTGTGAATGCGCTCCGGTGATGGATCAATGTTAAGAGCCGCGTTTTAGCCTCAGGGTTGGTGACCAGCAGTAGACACGCGGAACACGCCTTCTCAGGCTGGCACCTGGTGTATTTGTCCGTACCGCAGCGTGATTGACGTGTTGGAGAACGCCATCGTAGCTGCAACGTTGACAGCTCGTATCTGTCTCAGTTCTGCCCCAGTATGTTATTCTCATAAACCCATTCCCAGCATATTGCTTGGCCTCATAGATCCGTTACAACTGGTGGGAGATTGCCCATGTGCTCGTTACTGCATTATCAAGTACCTGCAGGTGCAACGCAAACACTCGATCCGTTACCGCAAGGCGGTGTATCTTGTGAACCTTATCATGTCGGCGCCGTTGACCAGCGCGGACGGAGGTGGCGACGGCACGGAGCCGGCCGGCTGAGGGGACGTAGGCGGCGACGGCACGAGCCGGGCTGAGGCTGAGGGGACGGAGGCGGCGGCGGCCGGAGTCGGCCGGCTGAGGGGACGCCACACCACGGTCAGCGGCCATTGACACGGCTGGGAGGTCGGCCCGGAGTCGGCCGGCAGCGGCCAACTTTGGCGCCACCGCTGACGAGCGCGGCGGCTTATGAACCGGCCGGGATCAATGGTCGGAAACGGCGCGTCATCCCCGCTCCCGGTGTGGTGCTGACCTTGGACTGTGCCGGGAAGTGGAGCCGTCTGTGGTCTCCCGTCCTCTCCCTGGGGAGCGAAGAGGCATTTTCC